AGAGAAAGAGCTTCGCCAAGCTTTCAGGAACTTGGTCTTGTAAAATGCAATAAAGTGTGTATTTTCTTGAATTTATCTTTTTGCCCTCTTTTATTTACAGGCCCACTCGTACGTTGGTTTCGGCACACCACAACCAACTTTGCTCACAGATACTATCCATTACGTATTTAAATTCCGAGCACAAGTAGAAAGGCCATTAGGCCTGAATTTGTGGGAGGAGTAAGTCCCCTACTTAAACTCCCAGCCCCTACTCACCGCTGCCGCTCAGCTGATTGTCCCCACCCACCTACACCCTGTTTTAACTACATTATCCTTGGTGGGCTCTCTTTTATTTACAGGCCCACTCGTACGTTGGTTTCGGCACACCACAACCAACTTTGCTCACAGATACTATCCATTACGTATTTAAATTCCGAGCACAAATATATATATATATATATATTAAATATATATATATATATATATATATATATATATATATATTATATATATTATTATTATATATTCAAACTCTAGTAACCTCTATACGACACATCACACCGTAACCTTCCTAACAACGTCTATGTATATAACAATGTACACAATATTACACAATTAGAATATTTTCCAGCAAAAAAAAATCCTGTCTCTAACTCTTATCATTAGCTCTGAAAAACTGAAAGAAAACTGAAAGAAAAACTGAAAAAAAGGCATGTCACTCCTCTCCCCGGGCAGGGGGGGGGGAGGGTGGGGAGAAAGTGAGACAGAAAGTGAGACAGAGTGCAAAAAGGGGAGAGAGAGAAATGAGAGAAACTGCAGGAATGAAGGTTAACCATGTGAGCGCCGTAAAGTAACAAGACAGAAGGACAGAGACTTATACGTTTGAAAACCAGAAATCTTTGCTAACTTTTTCATTTTCAGCATAACTTCTTCTCCTGCCCTCTCTTTAACAATATCACAAGCCAAATACCCCTTAGCTGGTCTAGCATGTTCTTGCCCCATTTTTTATTTATTACCAAACAAGGGATGCCACGTAATGAAGACAGGGAAAGTAGGAAGATAAGGAGGGAAAGTCAAGACAAAGGGGGGGGACTGTCTACAGTGCTCGACTGCTACGAGGGTTGGAGCCACGTGCGTCTTCCCTAAATGTAGACCAGTCACGGTGGTCCGTGCACCCGAGATGGCGACCATGGACCGGAGCGGCGAGCGTGGGTGACTAACACAGCTCTGGGCAGCAATCACAGGACAGATAGAGGACAAAGGAAAAGATGAAGGTGGCAACACTAAGCAAAAGGCATTTACAAAAATCACACACATATAAGTAAGTGTACACTCCAGAATCAAGGACAAGCCACACAACACACACACACACCGAGGGTACCCACACTATAACAACAATTGAACAAAATCCACAAAATGAAAGAAAACAATATGTACATATTAAGACAAAAAAGGCATAGTAAAACAATAAAACACAGCAATAACCCCTGATCCACTCAGGACAATACAATAACAATCCCAGCCTCTCTCTGGGCTGTACCCCAACCCTTTACCGGGTGGACAACAATAAAACAATAACACAATAACCCCACCCTTTACCAGGTGGTCCCCAGCCCTTTACTGGCTGTAACAATTCCCCAACCCTGTTACCCGGGTGGTACCCAGCCCCTTATCGGCTGTAACAATTCCCCAACCCTTCTCCGGGTGGTACCCAGCCCCTTATCGGCTGTACTTAATATCCCAACCCTGTTACCCGGGTTGTACCCAGCCCCTTATCGGCTGTACTTAATATCCCAACCCTGTTACACGGGTCGTACCCAGCCCTTTATCGGCTGTAACAATTCCCCAACCCTTCTCCAGGTGGTACCCAGCCCCTTATCGAATGTACTTAATATCCCAACCCTGTTACCCGGGTTGTACCCAGCCCCTTATCGGCTGTACTTAATATCCCAACCCTGTTACCCGGGTTGTACCCAGCCCTTTACCGGCTGTATGCGTTCCCTGCCCGCTAGGCAGTCAAGCTAAGATTTTTTTTTTTTTTAAAAAGAAACACCTGCACCGGCCGTCACACACATTCATGCAAACACTCAGGCGGCAGATAGACAATCGACAGGTTCATTAAAAGAGGCACCGGATAAGAGATTACCTGTCTTTTCTTGTAGCCTTCTGGAAGCCGGAAGTGGGCGCGGAGGCAGACCGACACAAAATAGGAGAATACAGGCAACGGCTATATTTTGGAGGTGATCAGGCTCCGGTTGTCCCCTTTTCTGGGGGTCCGCTCCAGTCCTTGGTTTCCGGCCCTCTGAACCGGCAAATCTGGGGCCCCACAGTTGGGCGCCAATTGAAGTGGAAATCAATCAATAAATTGATTATTTTTGTGTATCTGCCCCTTTCCAAATTGGTTATGGTGCATGCATGCTTTCCAAAGTAAATCAAACCAGACACATGTTTCCCGGTTGCTGAAATACTCTGGAATGTTTATTCATGGGGGATGACATGTCCCTTATAAAGCACAATTACATCATAAGCACTGTCAGAGATAACATGAAATAATACATCAATAATTGGTTAAGTGTTAAGTGTTTTATTCAAAGCACGTCCTACTGGGTGTGCCATCTTATGTCATTACTGTCGTCATGAAGTTCTCCCCCGGATTCCAGCGCCATCTTGAAAATGAGAGTGTTTGGTCGATGGGTAGGGTACTCCTGAGTGGCATCTAGTGGTCAGTTTAGTAATTTATTGAATAATACTGAGTATAACTAAATGGAGTAAATAGGCATTTTACTAGCTAAAAAATATGTCAATATTTCATTTCCACAACATTATCATATTATGCATATATTTTTCTATACGTTGATAGTCAATCATCTTGATTTTCCATCAATCATCTCTTTTTTTTGCCACCATGGACTGATTTAAAAATTGCTAACCAAAAAGGAAAAAAGGACATAGTAAGACTTTGCAAGTATTTTCAGGGCTAGTAATTCAAGTACATTTTGGTTTGGAGTTTGGGAATTCGACTTATCATCCTATTGGGGCAGAATAGACTGAAACAAACCATGGCTAAGTAATATGACTACCTATCAGAAAATACCCATTTGTCATGATTCCACAGTTCTCACCTTGTTCTCAGGAATGGTAAAATTATGAATATCAAACATCACCCCTTTCATGTCTGAAATTATTTCCTTTATTTCCTCTAAAATGATCTGGAGGCAGTGTAGATACACTGATGCAGAAAAAAAGTCTTCTTAATGCTTGTGGTCTTTGGGATGCACATACGACACTTATACACATATAGTGACCTAAAGTTAATCAAGAAATTCCCCAACTCTTTACCAGTAGTCCAATCCATTCATTTTTATTGTGTGCCTCATATGTAATATGTTTCTTTTTTCATTTTTTTAATGTCACATAGTAATTATAAGCATATGCATGCAACCTCTCTACTTTAATCCATAGAATTCAGGCTGTATCTTTAACAATGCATTGATCAGTACTGACCTTTACTAAATTTATAGAGCAAAGAGTTTCGGGGGACCATCCCATCAAACCATTTTTGAGCAGTTTGAGAAAATATAGGGTTTTTCCAGCACAGAAAGCCCAGCTTCTATGTTGTAATTCAGAAAATGAAGAATTTTCACTTTTTTCTTACATAATCGGTGTGATGACAGATAATGTGAACATTCAAAGACTGCAAGTTATATTACATTGCTTACAATTTAATAAAAAATACATAAATGATATTAAATTTGATGAATATGCCATGAAACAATATCAACCAGAGAATTGTAAAGATTTAAATATTTGATTTTCACAAAGGTTGATATGGAAGCTTGCAGAGTAAAACTTTAAATAAAAAGAAAAGTCAGCACCATTAGCACATTTTTTTGTTAAAAGTTTTAGATCTGCTATTTGTTCAGCCCTGCCAAAAATGTTCACCTGACTTGAACTTCCAATTTAATGACTGCTCTAAGATCACAGAAGATTTAACAGTTATACACTTACCAACGATTACACAGCAGTGCTTACCAATTTTGTGTTCTGAAGTGTATCAAGTAAATAGTTTTAAAGGACATTTAACAACAATGTGTTAACACGTTAATACTTTTTTAAAGCGTTTATGTTTAGAATGTAATATACTTATATACCTTCCCCTCCCATTGATTTACATATTCAAATTATATTATAAATAAACTTTGACTGTACAGTTCCTTCAGTTTATCATTTTTACTATTTCTTTGTGACTATGCTCTGTGCAATTAGATGATTTCTATAGCAGAACAGTAAACAGGACATCAACTTTCCTATAGAGCTTGGTCCCTTTGCCCTGCAGTTTATTTAGCTTGCTAATATTGTTTCTTTTTTACTGAATATAATTGTTTATAATGTTCATTATAATTTTATAACATGACAGGAGGCTTCGTATTTGTTTAAGTCTCTCTTTACTAGAACTCCACAGCAGCACAGAAAAACAACCAATCAGAAAAAAAGTTAGGTGATATAAAACTCCCCTCCCCATACAGCACTTCCTCTTTCTTTGCTGCTCCGCAGTCAGTACAGGTCGTAGTACCACTGCCTCCTGCTTCTAGTGGTGGCTTTGGGATTTTATTGCATATATACTCAGTATTTTGTATTGTTCTTGTAAGATTTTATTGCTATATTTTCAGTATTTTAGATTGCCCTTGTGGGATTTTATTGCTATATATACTCAGTATTTCTATTGTCCTGTGAGATTTTGTCTGATATTTTCAGTATTTAATATTGTCCTTGTGGGATTTTTCTTTCATATTCACTATTTTATTTTACCCTTGTGGGAATTTTATGCCTATATATATAATATTTTATTCAGAATATTTTATTTGCCCTTGTGAGATTTTTCCTTACACATACAGTTTTGTTATAGTCCCTGTGGGCTATTACTTCTACTTCAGGCTATCACTGTTATTATCTATGCTTTGGATTTGTGGGGGGGTCTTTGGGGTCCTTCTGTCCCCTCTATCCCCTTGGGCTTGTCCCACCTGTCAGTTTCTCACTTCGTGTATATATATATATATTCTTCTTTCCGCTTTTGTCCTTATGTCTGGCGGTGTGTATGTGCTGCTCGGGGGCTTCAGGAGGCGGACGGCATCTGCCTCCTTCCGATCCCCCTAGCTCCTGGACCGCGGAGTTCTTCTCCGGTGGTCCCATGTGTTTTTTTTCCGGCCCCGGGGGTACTCGCCAGCGAGCACAAGTACCCGGCGGCCGGATCTTTTTTTCCCACGTGCCCGCTTTGCCACGGCTGCCTCCGCCCACGGACCGCGTGTGTCCGACCAGGCGCGGGTGGGGGTTGCGACCGCTCGGGGCCCCTCCCCCATGTATACCTCTCGTTAGAGGTCTGTTGAGGGGCTTTCTCCCCCTCTGTGTATCAAGGCTGGATTCAGATCACGGAACCTTATTACAGCATATGAGGGCCCCTCCACCGTGCTCAAGGTTAATGTATAGCTCAGGATGACTTTATATTTATATATATATATATATATTTCTTTGTTGGGCTGGAGGATAGGCTATAGACAGTACACCCTGTACTGCTCTGAGGTTCCTGCAGTTTGGATACCTCTGTCTTTGACCAAACATTACAGATCTCCCAGTTCCCTGTATAGTGTTATAGAATATTCAGCACCAGTGGCTGAAACATCTGTTATATTAGACTGGAGACATAATAGCACTTAATCCTGAGGTATTATGTAAAATACTGTTGTAAACACATTCTACACTGCTAGTGGGTTTTGCATATTAAAGTTTCCACCCAAGTTTTCCTTGTTTCATTGCACATATATATATATATATATATAAGGGACTCTACCCACACAGATGAGCCTTATGGCTGTCGGAACGCTACACACATGTATGACTGGCTCTGTCTATGCCCCTATCACGGGCCTGCTATGTCTGTGCCCCATTGATTGGCCTTCTATGTCTGTGCCCCATTGATTGGCCTGCTACGTCTGTGCCCCATTGATTGGCCTGCTACATCTGGGCCCCTTTGATTGGCCTGATATGTCTGTGTCAATTTGATTGGCCTGCAAGGCCTGTGAACTTCTGATGGGCCTGCTCTATCAGGGCCCTTGTTGGCTTGATCTATCGGTGCCAAAACCCCTTTGGCTGCAGGCCAGGGGGGATATCACTGAGGAAAACCCAGTACCCACTATTGATATGGAGATAGGGGGGTGCCCAGGCAAGCACAACTGCCATACTATCCAAGAGGACACCAGTATAAGACCACCTGAGTATGGTGGGAAGGGTGAAGGCCCTAAAACCTCATGCCTGAAGGGCAAGGTTTTTTTATGAAGACCCGGGCACGCAACCACGGTTTACACCAGCCTGGCGGAGGCACAGCCCCATGAAGAATTTCAGTCAGGCAGGGACCAGTACTCAGACCCCAACAGGGGACACGGTTTTCCCTTGTCTTTAGCAACTAACCCTCTAACTGCCTTCCGGTATCCATCTTAGATATTGTTAGTTATTCCTGCGTCAGGTTAGCTCCTGGTCCTGTTCAGTTGGACTTTCTTGACTTGTTTTCCGGTCTGCTATTTACCTTATCCGAGGTACGTATTTACCCTTATTTACTTTTATTATTGTTTTGTTTTTCTTGCCTTCCTTTTTCCTATCACTCGGGTCGTCGAGAAGCTGACTTAAGACCTCCTCCGACCTCCCGGGCCCTCGTGGATTGCGGAGAACGTCTCCTACTTTCTTCAGACTGCCGACAGTCAACCTGGATCCCGCGCGCATGCGTCCGTTGGTAGACTCTGTCATTGTTTCCAAAGGTTGCTTTCTCTCATTGCCTCATTGCCCATTTTTATTATTTAAGATGGACACGGCCCGAGGTTGTATACTACTCCGTCTACCATCAGTCTGGTTTATTACCAGTGGATCCCACCTCTCAGGTGAAGAATTCAGAGAAAGGTCTTGTGGCCAGAGATGGACCCTCCTCGAGATCCAAGTCCTACGCTATTGTTATTAGATGGTGAATCCCGCAGGGTCACCCTGGGTCTGAGATGGACTCTAGTTTGGATTACTAGAGGGTGCGGCCCTCCATCTCCTCGACCTGAGACCGATACTTTATTTACACAAGTAGAGAGCGAACCCCTCTCATATACTGAACTGGACACTGCTTCATTATTAGACGACGTGGCCCTCCTTCAATCTCAGCCCGATACTGAGAGGGATACAGAGGACATACTTCGAGTGTGACACACTCTCATAGAAGGAAACGGACACGGAGGTAGACTTTAACTTTTACTATTAACGGGTGTGACCCACTCATGATATCAGATGGATGCCAACACGGAGTTCAGATACATTATTAGAGAGTGCAGCTCTCTCTCATACACTCAACACAGTACGGTGTCATCCATTTGTTCATCACACAGGCTTGTACCGGTACAGGATAACAATATCTGCATAGAGGGACGTCCCTCCTGCTCTCGAATCAATATAGAGGTGCGTACCACATACCGTGTTCACCGCTGATGATTAGGCTCTGGTACATGGGTATAGTACCTACAATGCTCCATAACAACTGGGCAAGGGGAGAGAACCCCTCCTCTATATCTACAACTGTGCTACCAAATTTGCTTTAGAGGTCTACCTGATAATGCAGGGTATACAGGTCTAGACCGGATTCCTCTATTTTCACCTCCTACATGATCCTACTGGATCCGGCCACTGTATCCCGCGCAAGAAAGACTCACAGAGGTATTACTGGAAGTGATTTCCCGGTTGTTTGCACATGTCCTGGAGTCCTTATGGGACAGTATAGGGACTGTTTGGCTGACCAGCTTGGGTTCAGCCCCCAGGATTGCTCCTTTTTGTTGGTGCCCTATAACATTCCTTTGGATGTACTCCTGGAGACAATACGGCTAAGGGTTGAGCCTCAGCTATTGCAAAACTGCAGGTGTCGGTATAATCAGACTAGCAATTGCACTCCGATCAGGTTATGCAGACCATTGCAAACGAACTGCACAGACAGTTCTTTCCCATGTCAAGGTGTCACAAGAACCTGAGGCATTCGTAGAGCAAATGTGCACTGCCGTGCTCGGGTAAAAAGACTAGGGAAGGCCCACAGCCCGGTCTGCAGCTACACCGTACGCATGGTTTGCTTGGAAAGACCGGAGTCCTCGATCGAATTGTTTTCACTGGTCGTTAACAATCTTGGAATAAGATGATTGAACTACCTCCACTCCTCTGGGAACATTCTTGGAGGACCCTCCTTCTATACCCTAAATCCCTCACGGGAACCGTATTGGTGTTTCCCGCTAACCCACCTATTCAACTGTCAGCAAGGAGACCTACTTGGACTCTGTGGAGGAACGATGTGGGTCCCCTACTCCTACATGGATGTCACAAGTCGGGATGCAACCTACTACTGGAGTACTACTCAGGATGGGTAGCAGGCTCGAATATGGCTGCCGACGTCTCAAACCTGACAACACCTGCTTCGGACGATTGAAGCTAGATCTGTGTTTTGTTATATCTGCTATCTGGAAGTCCTGTTGTGAGTGAAGGGACTTTACGTCTTGCTTACGTATCGGAGAACACTATGAGTCCACGGGACTCCAGGCTCAAGGGAGGTATTCCTATATAGGGATGCTTTGACTTCTTTTATCAAATTCACTTTCCTGGGTTCCTTGGCCAAGAGACTCATTATATTATACTCTATCTTGTAGGTGGTGTTCCATACACATATTTTGACAGGTCAGGCATGGATCAGGATCGTATCGGATTATTTCACTCTCTCACTATAGTACGTGAGGACTCTTTTCGTTATACAGGTCCCAATTACCATTGGATCCGGATGTCTTATCACTCTTCGATGATGATATAGCTGGATGGTAACCTCAACCCTGGTTGCCTTCTCCCCCTTTTGGATATTCCGGAATTCACAATCCCCAGGGTAGTCGAACACCATTTTACTTCACAAGTTCAGTTCAGACCCTGATTGGATGTCCTCTGGGAGTTTCCTTCCCTACCTCAGTCGCGGGTCACACAGTACATTTGGAATACTGGAATCACTCAGGATACGGTTATTTTTGCCCGCACTCTTGCCTGCATATAAATTAATTCTCAGAGGAGATGACTCATTGAGTCGGTCATGAGTAAACGAAAGACCCTACTCGGTTCTATTACGGAATTGGTGGTAGACTTCACGCGTTACTTGAGATTGGAGATTGGCCTGCAAGACCACATCACCGGGTGCCCCTGGCATGATTGGAGGAGCCATCTTCCACTTCAAGAGTCGAGACCTGATAGCAGTTTTCCTTTTGCGGCCCTAAAGTCCGCAAATGACCTTCAGCATTTTACACCTACAGGAAAATTACTAATAGATCAGCTTGGCAGCTCATGGACCGGCTACTAAGAAACAGTACACTGGATCAACCAGTGGAGGGTGTTTTTCCGTATTTTGGGGTGCCTTGTCAGTTGGCATTCTCATCGATCCACCTACTGTCACTTCTCGCAGTTGGAAGGTCTATTTAAGATTGCTCTAATATATCCCGGAATAGGTACCAGCGAAACAAACAGCGTTTGATTTGTTGGCTGAGCATTAAAACAGCAAATACAAAGTCTCCTGTCATGTTATAAAATTGTAGATTATGCTAGCTTTAGTGTACCTATAATCTTAATTTTATTAATAACAGGAGGCAAGTATTTCCTGCCCATTTTTCTACCACCCTTGTTTTATTTTATAGTTTGGGTTCATCAGGTACGTATGCATCTCTGCTTGTTGTCTCTGCTACCTGTCACTTGTTCTTATATCTGTTTTTCATAGTAGGGTTGGGATTTCTGTATATTATGGTATTTTCTGGTTATTACACTGGGTGACTACATGTTTGTTCGGAGTACATTTCATTGGATAATCAACCTGTTCGATTCTATTTTTTTTTCTCTCGTTTCAGTTTACAGTCCATCAACGCTATCTGGTTTGGCAGTTCTCCTCGGATGATGGACATTGTTGTATTCATCGTATCTAGGACTTTGTTTCTTCCCCAGTATGTTTTTCTGCATTTGGTTCTGTTTTTGTCGCAGCTTGAAAGAGGAAATGATGTATGGGGAGGGGAGTTTTATAGTACCTAACTTTTTTCTGATTGGTTGTTTTTCTGTGCTGCTGTGGAGTTCTAGTAAAGAAAGACTTAAGCAAATACTCGCCTCCTGTCATTAATAAAATTAAGATTATACACTAAAGCTAGCATAATCTACAATTGTTGAATGTATCTATTTTTATTTAATTGAGGGATTGCAAACTGTCCTCTAAACATTTCCAGAGTGGAATAATCCAGAGTTACAAATAAAAACATCTATTTATAATGCTGGGGTGTTGTTTAGTTTTTCCCAAAGAATGTATTAAACAAAGCAGTTACCTCTGTCACCCAGCTCTGAGTGGGTGTCTGTTAAACTCTGCCTCTGGGAGAATACCATCTTTCACCCAATCCAATGCATCTCATAAAGAAGCATTGGGGCACATGGTGCATAAATGGAACTACTTCTCATGGAGAAGCATTGAATAGAATGCTACTCTATAGAGAAGCACTGCATTTCGCCTTGTGATATAGCACAAGGCAGTCAGGAAGAGAACCTTCCCAGCTGTTAATCCGACATGGTGCAACATAGCTGTTTTTTAAACATGCTGATTTGTTTTGAAATCAGCACTTGCATAAAGTAAAAGAGAGAGGACCCTGTTAAATCCTTAAGCACTTAACCAAGCTGGGCTTGGGCAAATTTATAAGGTTGCAAGCTCATAAATTGTAAGCTTGTTTGAGCCTTTAACTTGTACATATCCCCTTTCTATAATTGTAAAGCTCTTCATAACATGTTGACCCTACGATAAATGCTAATAATAATAATAGTGCTAATTAATGCAATTTTAGCAAATTACAAAAATTATGTTTTCTACCTAAATAGAATAGATACGTACTTCTTGGAAAACTGATGAGTAAGCAAAGTGTTAAAGAGTGTGGTGCATAGATATAATGTCTACAAATCAGGGAATTGCAATATACAATGAAACGTGGCTCACTTAACATATAGTGCAATAACGCAATTTCAACATCTGTTTGTACTCTAAATAAAATAAAATCTTTTGTGTTTCCTTTTTTTTATCCATTAATTGTTTTATTAGTCTATTTTTATATTGGTGCAACCTATTGTCTAACTCTATACTATTTGTAAATACGTTATACCATAGGGTTCCAGTCATAGAAGACAAATACAGATATGAACTGAATGAGCAATGTGTATCAAACTATTTACAGTTTGAAACAAAGATGCAATCAAAAGCAGACATCAGATTCATTCATTTGTAACCACTTATTCACCACAATTTCCCAGGTCTAAAAACCTGACTCTGGAGGGGTGCACTACTGGGCAAATACATGTTGCTGCTTCAATGAATTTAAGCTCTGAAACGTGAGTGTGTTACTGATTCTGTCATATAACAAAACAAAAAATAACATATATAAATATTTTATGTTACATATCCATCTATTTTTCACTTGTATGTTTTTGAAAATACATGGAATGAAGGAAAGCAACTATTAAAGAAAGAAACCATTTGTTTGCCTAGAGTAGGGCTATGGAAGTGAGGGAACTGAGGAGGGAATTGTGATTAGAGAACATCAAGGAATATGGAAGACTATCTTAGAGAGGTGTGCTTTTAGTGACTTCTTTAAGAACCTCAGACTAAGACTAGGGAATCTCTTAGTAATGTGCAGTTCTTGAAAAAACCTTCAGATGAG